CTAGAACTGCCGCAATTTCCGAATCCTACGGAACGACCGAATCATCATTTTCACCTCGGTAGAAACTCCGGACAGCAATATCTCATACCGCGATGTGCATCAGATATGTTTCCCTACTTTGTTACCTATCAAACCCTTGTAGTAAATGAGCTGGAAACACGCACATACCAAAAGTATGAAAAATTGTTTAAATACCCAATTCAGTATAATGAGGTTCAAAAAGACGATTGGGTGTATTATGTATTGTGACACAGAGATAGCTCAAAAGAGTATTGTGGTGTCCTCGAGCTATGACAGAGAACAAAGTTTGATCAAAAGCAAACCACATTTGGACTGTATTTGGCAGCGTTATGCTTGACAATTTCTTTTATACCAAATAAATATGGGAGGGACTCTGTTGTCGTTTGGCGAATATCAGACCATAGAGTAAAAGGTAAATGGTTCCCTGCGCATCAAAATGAATTGTTCGGTACCACTAGTTTCATCCCAAGCATTACCAACTGAACTTCATCAGTACCTGTCCACTGAGAATAACCGTGACGGCAGAAGGTGGCACCCATCACACTCGGGACGAAACGAAGGGTACGCTCCACATGGTCTACATAAGAAAGGCTGAAAGTATGTGATATCCCTTCATGTTATTGACTCGTGATCCTAACTTACGCAATAAACCTGATGTTCAGACATCTTTATCGTGTTTTTCTTTCTCCCACTACGCTGCAGAGGTATATGAATCCGAGGACGCAGTTCCTGACATGAGCAAAGTGCTTTGATGTGAACATAAGCCCAATTTATTGCATGATCAATGGAATTTCTCCATCAGGACATAAACCAAGAGGGAGAAGACCCATCATATCGAAGCAAGACGACGGTTGAATTCGATCGCTGCTGAGAAAAGTTGCATACAACCAATCTGGAGAATAGTCTGTGCGGATTAGCCATTTTATCAACACGCTAAAATTCGGAAAAGGATGACGCAATTTTAAATGAAGCTGAGATCACCTGATATGAAGCCGTTATTGAACGCCCAACAGACCAGAGCACATTGGTTCTGGCAACAAATTCAAATCACATCCCCCGTCCATTTGGCAACAAGTTTGTCTGACTGGTAGTTAACGCGCAAATCAGCGGGTGAGGAGAGATTATGTACTGACCTAATGTTCCAATAAATTTCATTTACCTGTTAAAAGGAGTAAATACACATCCCGCCCAACAGGTTGGAAGGGAAGTGAATACTGAGCGCCTTGTTGTTGGTCTCCTGCACACACCAATCTGGATATCGCAAACTTTCTTACACTGATAAGGCAGATCTTCGACAACTGTCACTCTCAAAATGCGTTATCGGAAGTCAGGTTTTTCTCGCTTGAGGTTGGTAACAGTGAATGGTTAGACCTCAGTGAATATTATTTTTTCACATTTATGCAGTTTCTCGAGGGGTCAATTACAAGGTCGAGTTCATTTAATTACCACCAGAAGTTGGGATTTGAATGCAATCGAAAATTTTCCCCTTTGTTGGGAATAGGGATAAGTTAGCTACCTCGACAGAGGTTACCAGTGGTTAGGGTGAGGTATGTATTAGATGAAACTAACAAATTCTGTTGGATGGTCAACTTGGTGGACTCCATGCAAAAGCGACTGCCTCCAACGCTCACAAAGGAAGGGCAAACAAAACAGGAACGGGGTTAAAGTACAATAGCTGTATCAAGTGTATGGGTGACTTCGGTAAATAAATTCTCTTTGTGTTTCTTATCATGGCATCGTTATTTTACAAATGATGAATCAGCAACCATCTTCAAAATCGAGAAGTAGTACATGCTAATGGCATTCCACTAATGGAAGCAAAGACGTAAGTGGATATTATATCAGATGTTGCAATGTCATATTCAACCTCGTGAATGAGGCTCGAAGTGTTGGGAGAAACAAATGTGATGGTAATTAAATGTTCGCTGTTTCTCCATTTTGTTATTCTGGATTGGGAAACATAAGGAAGAACGACGGATGTCGAAATTTTATCATGACATCACTGAGAACTTTATCAGAGGTGTTTACGTTTGACTCCAGGGTAAGCTTTTGAGAATAAAGGAACGGGTTGCGTAGGTGAATGATCATCGCCTCAGTTGTAGCAAGATGCCGNCGTTGAAGGAAAGCTTTCAATGGGTTTTACTGGTACTTTGTAGATCGACTTGAACGCATCCTCCTTTGTGTGATGGCCCGAAGCCATCGTGACCTTTGGCACAACGCAGGGATGCATACGGGCAATAAAACAGCTCATTCAATCCAACGACGCCTCAACATTTCCCAGACACACAACGACAAATAAACTGCCCCTCCATTTCCAAACCGATTATCGCAACATCACAATCAACCAATCATATTCATCACAGGAAGGAACGGCATGCTAATTTGAAAATCTTGAATCCTATATAAAACTGCCCTAGCCCAAGGAACAAGTTATCGGAAACAAGCTTTGTCCGCCACTGTTTTACTGACGGCCCCCCTGAGGCCAGTGCAGAGGGCTCGGATTGTCTATCGATGAGCCTGAAATCTCGATTAATGAACGGCCCTATCTAAACCCTTTCTCTCAGTGACTCACACACAAGGCAGCTTTGGTTTATTTTGGGGGGAGAAGGTATTCGTCCGTTTCCTGAGACCTAAGCAAGAAGATTGCACGCATAGGTCGTGTTAGGCTTCCTCGAGGGAGACCTCGGGAATAGCACAACCGACGTTTAGAGTGATATTGAGTGATACGGCTCAACCTGTGCTCAAATCGCTTGCATCTTTAGTCTACTTAAATATCCCATTTTCACCGTGATGCTACTCCAATCTTCTTCTTATTCATTCAAATGGGCAGACAAAAGACAGCAACCAAAACCGCCGCACAAAAGTGAATGGTTAATGGTTGCTTGAACTGAAACTGAAACATGCCCGTTGATCCAATGTAGCTGAGATGAGAAACAACACATCTGATCAACCTCCATAGGTCAGGTAAAAGCCATTCACTCGTATGCCAGGTGGAGAGTTGACTGCAACGGCATACACGGCGCCTGTCTGGACCCCAGACAAACATTGTTCTTTTACAACCTGAAAAACACTGAACAGTCTTTTCAATGACCGATGCAAACTGATTGTGAACAATATTATTTGATGCATTAAGTTGTTCATCAATCTACTCACTTGTAATGGAGAACAATTGTACTATGCAGTTTTAATCAATGTGTGATAGACGATCTAAGTAATATAGGCAGGGCGACAAGGAAGACTGATCTAGGAGCAATGCGTATTGGAGGTGTAATTATTAGATTATAATGACCACTTCGTTCGTTTAGTTACGATTTTGTGAAGAACAAAATGATGGAAGAATAGTTCGTGATCATACTCAAATGATGGATAGGGAATAGGTTTTGGAAATTTTAAATGAATCATCATAGGTGGAGATTTGAAATGATCGGTAATAAACCACAAATGGAAGAGAAATGGTGACAGAGTGATCTTTTCAATAACCGTTGCTGAATGTAGTATTAGATAGCTCTACCCATTGCGATGCTTACAGTGGACAACTTGTGAAGCATTTTGAAGTTTGATAATTTATGATGTTTAGTGGCAAAAGGGGTAAGGAATTAGGTATGAAGGAATAAAACAGCATACGCATAACTGTGAACTTTAGTGATTACCTACAAATAATGTTGGAGACTGTTGTTAAATACGGTTCTCAGAAGTTGTTTTCACTTTTTCTCCCACGTGTGAGATGTACGCATCCTGCATGACAGAAAGCGAATTCCTAATCCATTTTTGGAGAGACTGCACCTTGACGTGGTGTGATGGCTTGTGCACCTTTCTGACCCAACGAGCTAAACAGGATGGCTTTTGTCAATGCGAAGATCTAATCATGCCTGGAAGGTCGAGGTTGAATGAAGTCGTCTCCTGCTGCTACAGGTTGGGGGTTCGACTAGAATTTGCGTTTCAGTCGGTAAAAAATGGTGAAGGATTAATTTAATTGATCCAAGTAAATGGGCCTCCACTTCATTTCAATCGCTGCCTTGCGGCTGGGTTCTGGTCAGAACTTAAGGCTTTGGTTGAGAACCCTAATCGTTCTCCTGCTTAGTGGCTGGGCACCCTAGCAGTACTCGTCCATCAAAACCCAGAGCATATGCACTGCAAGTTTGGCAGCGATCAGTGAAGTTCACTTCTCTGTATTTCGCTGTACAATGAAGATGATGAATCCATTTTTAGCGGGCATTCGTTGGTGGTCACATCAAGTTCTCACTGATTACTAGAAAAATAAATTGACATTCTGGATGAAACATGACAACTGCTCAAATTCGATTGTGAGTTCAATTACACAGATGGTTAATCGATTACCACTTGGATCCGCCCACTCTTCCAGTTCACGGATAAGAAAATTAAATAAACAATTGTAAATTATTGTCACGTCAATAGGCATTCCGCCCTAGCAATTAGCCTTTTAGGGCTTTCTACATACGACAGAGACCAGGATCTTTCTGCTAAGAGAGACAGGAAACCCGGCTGGTATTGTACCTTACCCACCCAGCTGCCAATGTGATGGATCCGGACTCCTTCGAAATATTTAAATACCCATGATACTTATTAGTTCGTACTATTATAAGTGCAACCTTGCAAAAAAAGAACAAAAGCTGCTGGTATGGCGGGTGTCACAACTTCTCCATACATTTTGCAGGAAGAGAGGTCAACCAAACTTGAGTATCTAGGTACCGCTCTCTGAGGTGAATATCGCGATCCCTTAAGCAACACGAACACTAAATAGCCCAATCCAAATCCCGTTTCGCTCTGGGAAAACCAGAAAAAAGCGGAATAGTAGTTTGACAGGAAACACTGTCAAATAAAGTGTTGTATTGACCAGCAGTCGATTGCTGGCAGAGTGAGTGTATGTACAAAACAGAAAAACAAAAGGAATAGAAAAAATAACAAATCCGAACCGGAACCAGATTCGGCTGGTGGCACAACTGCACCGGAGGTCTAGCTCAACTTGCGCGGTTGGCCTGTACTGGAAGATACAGTTTGAACTCCGCAGGCAACTCATCGTCTGAGTAGATACGGTCACAAAAATAAATGCGTCGTATTCGACAGTTGGCATGAATCTGTAATAGGGATAAAATGAAAAAGTAACTGATCTGTTTCAATGAGCTCGGATGAATGCATATATAAGCGAACATACCAAACGCCAAAGAGGTCAAGAAACCCGCAAAATTAACAGACAGTTTTCGGTAGGGTGGATGCAGCCATTTGTCCACCATTTCTGTGCTCCGAATTTGGTTGCTCAGCAGGAAATGACGATCGTGAGATAATGACAGTTTAACTTACTTTTCAACTTATCTGACCAGATTATTGCATCTGTTAATTGGTCTTGACTAGTAGCTATTCGAACAAAACTATTCAAGAGTTAAACCCAGAGAGCTCAAAGTTTGGTTCCAATCACCAAAGCAGAAAAATTCCTGAGCATTTTTACTAACCATGACAGAGAGGTTTGAAAGACATTCAGTCTACTGAGAGACTTTCTGTGAGACTGAGACTTTCTAGAAACTTCTAAAATGTTGACTAAGTTATTATTTCAAGGAGTCGAGAGAGCACGAATTCCGGGTTAGTTTGGCAGTGACGAGTAACTGACGAGTAACAAGATGTACATCAGCAACACCTTTTTATAGAAAACCTTGAAGATAAACAACATGGCGAGCGAACTCCATGATCACGATGACCTATTCTGCTTTGTAGTGGAAACCAGTAATCCGTGCCCTGGAGCTTGTAGAGGTAAACTACATAAGGATCGAAGAATTTAGGCACTAAGGTGAAGCTGTACACAAACGAACTAGGCGCGGTGTCGGGGTTCGGAAACCGGACAAAATGAAACCCTCGGTTGACGTTAGCAAAGCACATGGAAATAACTATCTCAACAGCGAGAATTACTTCGTGACAACCTACATGTTTCTGTTAATTGGGAGAATATGTGGGATGGTTTTTATGCCATCCAGACCCTTTGAAGTTCAAGCACCCAAACCAAACAAATTTGCACCCCAAGATCTGAATGGCATGAGAAAATCGGATTTTGATCGAATAATTCTGGGGTTCCCCACATCGTTGAGCAAAATCCCTACACTACAGTAGAGGTATTATTTGTCAAATTGGGTCGGTATCCACTGGTTTAGTTTATTGTCCCTATCGTGCTTCAGGACCTCAGGTTCAAGAATTGAACCCCGCCACCGCCAAATTCGTTGTCATTTGGTTCAATACCACACCTATCCGACTGGGACCTGTAGTTTGCTATACCGAATAACCTGGTTCTCTTAACGAAGAGCAGGTCCCCGAGACTACGGGACTCATACGTTTTACTGTTCACCGCAATAAGACGTGAGATAAAACGGGACAGCAAAGAAAATAGAAAATGTATCATGGTATGAATAATTCAGGAATTGTAAAAAACTAAACCGCATAAGAATAACATGGACGCTGCACATAAGTAGTAAACGCGTGTGTCAGCATCGCAACGTCCAGTGGATCAGACGTTCAAATCCCACTAGATATCTAACTACTCTTTAAATATCCGGTTCAGTGACCTTCCGTAACTGAGCAATATATATATATATATATATATATTCATACTTATTATCGTTTGACAACGAGTCCTAGTCTGGATCGAAACGTCACAATAAATACTATCACTCAGAGCTCGCCTTCTCCTTTTCAACATATATACATATAACAAAACTTTCTAGCCGGTTGGATGAACCGAATAGAAATGGTAGATACAACGCTCACCTGGATGCGCAAAACCTCCACAAAGTTGGTCCCATAAGCTCGCTTCGTGAAATCAGCCATATTGAAATAAACGTTATTCCAATTCTCATCTAAACGTAGAGGCATTGTGCAAATGAATGGTTTCACACGGGTGGTGCTTTGATAGTTGCTAGCTCGAAAACGACGCTTAATTCCCTCGTCATCCACAATCTAGACCGTATTGAAGAACAGAACGATCAGAATTGAATTGAAACAAACAGACCTGTATTTCGAATGTGAAATACTTTTTAAGGTTCTTTACAATTAAGACAAGGAAGGGAAGTTTAATTCCAAGGGATTTACGCGGATCAGACGGGCATGAAATGAATGTCGATCTGGAAAAGATAGATGGAATGATGATAACACGATACATAATGCATCGGCCTTACGCAACATTATTGCCCAGTAGTTCCAAAACGAGTGACTGTATATCATTGTCCGTAATTCGCTTTATATGTCCGTTACGAACCTGGAATGATGAAAGGCTAGACTGCAAGGACTTACTTTTTTATCCCATAACTGTAGCGGTTTAGTACCCATGCTGAACAGAATAGATAGAAATCCACTTTGGAAAGTGTTACGAAACATTGCTGAAATGACTGAAGAACAATGGATATTTAGTAACACTCTCAGCCAAGGCATTGTAACCAAAACGATAGACAATGTAAGCCCCTATAAATAATTATTTACTGAATACACTCTCGTAGATGAGTGATTATTAGTATTATCCACATTGAACACCAGACTGTTAAATAAGTCACAATATAACAATCTCGGATAGTTGCGTGGTAAATAACGACAGCATAATAAAGGAGGTAACTCGCCCACATCCCCAATGCTCCAGTGGCGTTCGAAGGACTGAAACACATTAAGTTCCGACTTGACATGTCCTTGAAAATAAAAGTTCGCGTGTACTGCACCAGTGTACAGTTATTACTGCTCTAGGGTTGCGACAACCTAAGCTTGCGCGTGGAAGACATCAATCACCTGGAAGTCTTTGACTGTCAATATTTACGGAGTTTGGCTCGGGTTGGATGAAGCGAGTATGCAAGCAGCACAGATGTAAGCCGACGAGTGCTGGTGAACAATTCGGTGGAACATTTGTCATTATATCGAATTAGGATTACCAGACTTCGCTGTTTAGAACACAAGTCCAACTGTCATCTGCCGCCCTGCGTCTAATTTGCTGTTGCTGCTTCAGGTTGGAGGAAATCACGTGAGGTCAACATACAAAGTGAAGTGAAGTGAATTAGGAAAAAACTACGCCTTAACTTGATACGATGGTTTGTGTGCCTGCTTGCGTGACCCTGCGAATTAAACAGGATGGCTCTATAGCCGCAGATCCAATCATGTTCAGTTCAGTTCAGTTTCCACAACCACTAACCATGCACTTTCGTGAGCCGGTTTTGGTTGCTGTCTTTTGGTGTCCCAGTTGCATAAAAGAGCAGGATGAAGATTGGAATGTTAAAAGCAAATTCAAGCGAGAGATGCAGAATTAATATAGAATGGCGATAGGGTAATAATGAATGGATGCACGAGCGCCACTGCCTGCGACACCTAACCATACCACTCAGCGTCTAGCCATCGCTGACCATCATCCCGGGAGACTAACAGGGCCTATGTGACCTAGTCTCCTGCTTAGGGTGTTTATATCCTCATGCCGGAAAGCAAAAGGAATAAGAAATTGGGTCACAGTTCTGAATTCGGACTCAGTCAAGTGTTGAGGGTTTATGTGCGATGTATCTCAGTTTATCAGATGTATTCGATTCATTTGAGGTTCCTTGATATCTGACCGGTGATTCAATAGTGTGCTTTCCCTCATTCCGATTCAAAAGCCACATGATATTAAATTTAAGAATTCGAAACAATAATAGTTATAAAGTTTTCATTCTTACAGGATAGAAACGAAGAATAAGGACAAAATGAATTATTTTGAGGTATCCACTTTAAAGTTGTTACAGATTCCTCCATGCAGATAGCAATGAGAGGACAGGATTTTAGTGTTTCTTTCACGCAATGATCCCCGATGAGCAACACAGCACAGCGCACGTTAGCAGACATGCATACCAATCTGTTCTTATTACAAACCCATGTGATGAACAGCAAACGGGGTAAACCCCATATTCACGAGGACCAGCTATTCACTCACGGAACCACGGAACTTAGGATGGCGAACCCATATAAGGCCCCGCTAGGTAAAAAGTTTTAATTCTCTTCGAGAGAATGCATTCATGTAAAAAGCACCACTTGCCTCAATTTAGGACTATATCTTGTAGCCAGAGAAAATCTGAGTCTTTGGGGCCTCGACAGTAAGCCAGATCAGAAAATAGTTTCTACCACCCTCTTTAGCACACCATAACTGGCCTACCTCGTTGTTTCTCTCAGTACATCCCAGTGTCTATAAATACAGCACAATAGGATAGATATTGTCCAGGTGTTCTTATACGTGCCCCAACCACCTCGCCAGGTGCACTGAAATGATCTTGATTACGGGAGACACGTTCTAAAGCTATCGTTACCCACGTAAGGCTTTTCGAAAACAAACAGCTGCTGGTCATGATCTTCTCAGGGACGCCAAGTTTCACAATTGCAGTGCGACCGTGCCTGGACCGTTGGGCTATGCGCACGCTCTTTTTCTAAAACGGGTAGGTCGCACAGGCTGCTAAGATATTGGAGATTAGCAGAAGCCAAACTTGGTTCCATTACACTTGATGACATTGGTTCACCCAAACATTCGCTAATCATTATGCGGCCTATGAAATTCTCAGTATGGTCGGAGCGTTAGTGTCTAGGGTTGCGGCTGTTCACTCTCCCCGTGCACCTCGCTAAATACTCCCATACAACCAAGCGTCTTAAACAGCATCTGCTGAGAAGGTCCTAATCACTGCTTTCTCGTGGTGGAGGTGTTTTCCCACCAAAGTGAGAGGACCAAAAGCCGATATCCGGGGCTAGAACCGGGTCGGTGGACCACTGGTAGTTCACCTAGGGTATTTGTGAAGATCTCTGGTTCCAAACCAACCAAGAGGAGGCGTATGAATCACACACCTTCCCCGTTGTGGCGGTTGTGATCACTGGCTTGATTGAGCATCGAGGCATATTGGGCACCTTGGACGTTTGGCCCCGTCCGAAGGGTGCATGATCCGATGAACTGGACACTGGCTCCCACTAGATTGCGGTTTTCACGTCACCCCGTTGCCTTGTGGGTCGGGCTTTAGCTAGCCAAATGCTTCGGGTGTGAATTCCTCAAGAAAATTTACCTGCCTTGGCCTGGACAACCTGGCAGTATTCCGCCCACTTGCAACTCGTGGAACGTTTTTCTTTTTATAAAGATTATTGTACTACGATTTGTTTGGCACAGTCTGGCATCAGACGTGTGGGAAATATATAAATATATTATTATATAATCATTATGCAACTCCCAAGGTTACAAAGCGTTTAACCACTTTTTGTTTCAGCACCTAATAAAAATGCAAGTACACCCTCCTCTTAATCTACTAGCAGCAGCAAAACCTTTGAAGATGAAAAGCGCATACCATACTGAGAAACCGTGAGTGCCAAACTGTTCGTTTAGTGCGCCTTGCATCACCTGTGTATCGTCACCAAGAACAGTTATGTCGGCTCCATGTAACAAGGCACGCTGGAGATAGTTGTTGAGATCGATAACGATGCGTTACAAGATGAATCTACATCAGTAGAATCATCCAAACCAGATGGATTGGTGAAAAAGGGTAAATTGTAGGCGGAGTAGATGGTAGTACCATGTGCACTTTTCGAGAAGAGCGAGTATGGTGAGTGCAGAAGTGGAAGGCATGTGGAAATGTTCGCATTAAGATTGCGGGTGTGATAATACAAGGTCTCTCAGATCTAAATAAAGGGCTTTCCTGGGGGTGGCCTTCACGGGGTATCTGGTTACAGAACACAACCCACAAAACAGAACGAAGGAGAAAGTCCCAAATCTCTTGAAAGCCGGTAACTGTAAGACCAGCTCCTGCGACCCTGGGATGCGGTCAACTATATAAGATTCAGGATTCACGTGTGAGTCCAAGCTGTGCACCAAACAAATCAGAATACAATAGCAGC